TAGTTTAGTAATTAATACCTAGTAATGGCTGAAGAACCGTTGCTTCGAAACTGCCATAAAATAACTGGGCTGTGACGCGTTGGAACATCTATGGAAAAATATTCGAAGGTGAAACCCGAATATTTGTTACAATACACTGCTTTTACCTTACATAGTAAGTTATTTTATATTTTTCTAAATTACCACTAGCTGTTGCTCGCGGTTTCGTCCACATAAATGCTGTGTCCCAAAAATACTATATCTCGAACGTTCTTCTTTAAAAACCAAGATAAAAATATTTTTTAATTTATTTTGTGAGCCTTAAATCATTAAATCTTTTAAATTACATATTGTGATTCTCTGACCGTGACCCTCCCAATAAATATTATTAAAAACAAAAACAAAAAAAAACAGTAACTAACACTCAAGTTATTAAATTGTTTTTACCTAAAATGAGTTAACCAGTTCGTTGCAGGATAAGGAAAAATACAAAATCAGGCTGACACGTAGGAAAACCGCACATTTTCCGTTAAATGTTTTTGAGTTTTTTACTTCTATCATTAAACCAGCAAAAATACGTGTGACTTTGACACATTTTTTTACATTACAAAACGCTAGGGACCCATTCTAAATGGGTGTCAGTAATTTATTCTTCAATTATTTTAATGCTGACAAACGGTCCATTTATTCATTTTCACTGCATTATGCATCTCAATGCATTTTAGCATCATAAATCATACATTAACAACGTTTAATAACAAAGAGAATATAAACATTTAAATGAATGACGCCACAAAACATTGTAACGAACAACTTTCTTACGTTATTTTGTCATAAAACAGGCCGTTACCGTTTTCGATAACTTTCTGAGGTAATATTTTTCATTTTACATTCGAAAGTGAAGGTTTTCTCAATTCACTGCAAAGGCCACGTGTGTCGACTATCGAGACGGATCGAATCGATTACGTATTGGAATCGGACGCCGCACGCAGGTATCGAGAAATCTTCGCGATTGCGAAATGATGTGGAACTTCACACGTACCTATCACATAACATATCCGCACTTAGTTTTTCGTCTCCATGGTGTGGTAGAAAGGAGAGTTGGGTTAGAATCAGAATTTGGATTGATTCCCATGGGGCACAAAAACCGCGCTAAGCACTAAGTTTAGCATTGACTTAAATTAAAAATTGACACACCTACATAAGGGCCTTAACCCAGTAGAGTCATAAGGCTGCGTTGCACCATCTTACTTTAACTTTCATAAACGTCAAAAATCTGTCAAACTCCATACAAAAAAACACTGGTTATTGTTCAAGTTACAGTCAAAATTAGGTGGTGCAACTCAGCCATAGAGTCGATTGAGAACAAGTAACAAAACTACCTAGTTTTATACAAAACTGTCGTTATGCCAAGCTTAATCTGCAGGTACCCATGTCTTTCGAAAATCGTTTAATCCATTTGTTTCTTGTTCACCTTTAAAGAGTATTTTCACCCTATATTTATCATATTTCTTTTAACATTGCCTACCGTTATTGTTTTGTTTTCTTAATTAAAGAGCAAACAGTTGCTTCAGAACTTACTTTTTTGTCTACTCTTCAATTAATAAGGTAACACTATGAGTGATAGATCATTAATAGTTTAAGACGTGAGACAAACTATACTTACCTTATTCTCCCACGTTCATTAAAAGGTATTTTATATCTTGAAAGCTATTTAAGCTTTGTTAATTATGAAAAATCTCCACACTAATCAACCACACTAACGCGTGCAGGTCGTCATCGCCGGCGCGATCAAAGGAAAATGACAGGTCGCGTGAACTGTCATAGGTCACGCGATCTGTCATTGGCCTTTGATCGCGCCGGCGATGGCGATCTGCACGCGTTCTAGCTTTACGGAAAATGTGAATTTTCTATTGTCACTTAAGTACGAATTCTAAGCTTAAAAAGCTTGCTCAATTATTTATCAAGCTTTAAAAGTCAAACTTTTAATCAAAATTGGTTAGCAATGCAAACAAGATTCTTTCAATCAAGATTCTTGGCGGCTGCAACTCGGTTTTTGCCTGATACAGGTAGCATATCGCTCTGATTCTAGATAATGTGTAACAGTCCATAAAAACGTTGACTGCTGCGCTTGCGCAAGTAACCGGACAGCCTCAAAAAGTCACGTAAATGATCTATCAATTTCATACAGTTATGTTCGATTTCATTTAAATTATGTTTGGTATATACCACGGATGCAAATATGCGAGTGTTTGTGAGATTGGTGTAAATAAGTCAGTAATTTTGGATAATTTGGTTTTCTATCGAACTGCCAGTTAAAAGACATCTTACAACTCTTGCCAGTTAAGAAAGGCAACTCTTGGTCTCTTTCTAATGATGGCTAAAAGAAACTGAAAACTACTAAAGCGGTCAGTTCAAAAATCACAAGTGACATAAGTAGGTGGTCACCTACTACGTGACATAAGTGCGCTCGATATCTGGGTGCCATAAAGGTACGACCACACGGACAGTTCATGTGCAGCACATTTTGAAAACAACAACATAGGTGTTAACTTTTTCCAGTATGAATAACTTTTGAGGTTACAAAAACATAATTAACTCATAATTTGCAACAGAGCTAGAAACATTTAGAAAACTTCCTAGTAGAATAAACCATGAGAAGCATAGGCGAATAATTACCGTACCTACGCATAGCTCACACCAGTGGAATCTCACCTTTACCGACCAACCTGTCAAGGGCGGTGTCCATTACAAATCCGACGCGCGACAGTAATTAGTAATTATGTAAGAAATATGAAAGGTAACCGAGTTAATAAGTGTTATGTGTACGAAAACAAGTCAACCTACAGGCGACCTTCTTTTTGGGTTGGGAAGGTAAACAAGTGAAACTGGAAGAGGTTTTTCCTGATTGATGGTGGCTGATCTGACCAAGGTACAGATGACACTACAGCATATCGAGATTAACTTATCTGTACCTTATGTATTATGTACTTTTCTGTACTTACTTCCTAAGGCTACGAGTATTAGGTAATTTGGTTTAAGATTCAACATACATTTTGAGATATGATTACGTTCGTTCGTTTCAGCCGAATAACGTCCACTGCTAGACAAAGGCCTCCCCCAAGGATTTCCACAGAGACCGGTCCTGCGCCGCCCGCATCCAGGCACCTCCCTCGACCTTCACCAGATATAAGTGTATAGTGACCGAGTTTCTTGCGCTGCTTCTTCTCAGCACTGGCCCATTTATTGACCCGAAGTGGTAGGGTTAATACTGGGACGTGTAAGTGCTTTTTGCAAAGCCTACTTTCATAAATAAAATACGTTTTATACCTTTTTGCGTCAGTAAAAAACCTACTCTTACCGGTTTTAACTGGTAACTTATTGGATTTTTAACTAAAAGGTAAACATTAGTTTTATCATTTGACAAATACTGTTATCATTTTTTCTCTACATCCCATTGCAAAAATCATGTGTTCTAAGGGCCTTGACAGTCTCAAAGTCCTACAGCGCACGTGTTTCAGAACTGTAATAACTGCTTCAAGATTATAATTAACCAAGATTACAGTAATAAACGTGAATCATAATTAACTTGATAGTTAATCTAAAAAAACTGACTTGGCAACTTTGTAAGATTGAGTTGTTATCTCATTGAATCCAATGATATGATAAGTAGTGTCATGAACCACCATGAACAAACTCACTAAAAGAATCAACGGCAGAGACAGCGTTCGTGAAACCCAAAGTGGCTAAAACAACACAATCTTATTCCATTAAGTAATTGTAACAAAGACGTGTCGCGAACTTAATGGCTACTATTAGTAGAAATGTTAATTTCAAAATATCTTCATCAGTGCATTAGAAATACGAAATTTCCCAAACAAAAAAGAAAATGATTTGAAAGTAATTTATTATTATCACTGAACTAGTTTAAATTCATTTCTGTTTCACTAGACTTGTCACATTCTGAACATTATCGGTGCAGATTAAAAAACGTGCTAAATCTTACTGTCTGAACGGTATTTTGTGAGTCTGCTAACGAACTGAGGCGCCGAAGATATCCAATTAGGAGTAATAGTGATTAGTGCTCTCGATACTTTATTGCCCACTAGCTTTTACCCGCGACTTCGCCCGCGTGGAATTTTGTCTGTCACAGAAAAACTTTAGCACGCGTCCCTATTTCAAACACCGAGATAAAAACTATCCTATGTCCTTTCCATGGACTAAAACTATCCTATGTCTTTCATCAAAATCGGTTCAGTGGTTTAGGCGTGAAAGCAAGATAGACGGACAGACAGAGTTACTTTCGCATTTATAATATTAGTAATAGAGTATAGATAGTACACATTTGTCCCGCGTACGTGAAAACGCGCGGCCGGTCGCACCGACGCTGGTTAGGCGGATTAAACAAGGATTAAGGTGCCATTGGTAGACGCACGTGACTGCTAAAGTTAATATTAACTTAACTCCATTTATCTTATCCATGATGTGAGCAATCTTTAGTCCAATCTAGACTTGTGTTTACTAAGTTCATTATTGACAATGTTTAAGTACAAAAAAATACCAGTTAGGTCTTTGAATGGCAATCTGACTGCCACGATGACTCAATTGATGATTCTCACTTGGAAGCGAGGCATCGTTTTTATTTTTGCAGTAATTCCAAAACAATGGCGAAGTAATTATCCTTACTTTGAGGACAACTTAAGAAATAACACCATTAGCGTTATCTTAAGATCCATGATTTGCATAATTTACGCATTGTCTTCAAAAGAAAAATGACAAACTGACGGTGCAACGCGAGTTTTAGTTGTTCGCTTATTTTTAGAGTTGACGCGATGTAAGAACGACATCGTAAATTTCACTTTGCTGATTTCCTATCAATCTTAACTTGTCCTAAAGTCAAAAATTAAGTAATGACCTACCGAAATACGTTCACTAATTAATGACCTAACAAATCATAAGCGCAGGTTAACAAACCCGATTGTTGTGTCACCGCCTCCATTTCCAGTAGAGTAAGCGCGCACGCATTGACTCGTCCAAGCCGGCACGCGGCGCGCGCATCCGAGCGCTCTGAATTTTTCGCGCGATCGCGAAAACTTTCCGAACGTAAATCTTCGATAAAAAAAACTTATTAAAAAGAAATTGTGCGCTCATTTTCTACAGCGTCATGCCGTGAACTTTTGTGAAAAAAAAACAATTACCTACAGTTTTCCCGCCTTTTCCCGTGAAGTGAACTTTTTCGCCAGTGTAGTGAAAAGGAATCAGTGCTGTTTCAAAAAAGGAGGGCTGTCAAAATTGACATTAGTGTTGTGATTCTTCCCAGTTGGTGATTTTTCTACTGTTTATTGCATTTTGATGTGGTATGGGTTTACTGTGTTTGAACAGGTGCGGTTATCTGTCGAATGACGCGTGTTTTCAGTCAACCACGTTCAATAATTATACATTCGTTACTCTAATAAAGCACTAATCGTGAAAATAATTGGATTTTGTTAGTAGCTGGTAATTGTGACATATTAACACATTTCTTATGTATAGTTTTCGTACAACCATTACTTGTTTTGGTTTTTTGAACGATCCAATTGGCATTTAAAAGAAATGGCCTGTAAATTATTACAATTATGTTTAAAAAAGAAAAAATGATTATAGTCCAGTCAATAAAGCATTATAGATGGAAAACCGTGGAACACAATTTTTGACTTCGGGACTTTATTTAGACTAGTTAGGAGGTGAACATAGCAAAAGTCCCCGCCCTTAGCCCTTGAGCCGCCGGAGAGAGGGGAGTTTAAAGGTACCACTTTTCGGTTTTTCGCTTAATCCTCGGAAACTATGCGTCCTAGTGACATGACTACTATGAACCAAAAAAAGCTTATTCAATTTTCTACAGGTGAGATAGTCAAGTTTTTCTATATCTTGTATAGTTTTCGCGGCATCTGCTCTAGAAGGTCTGTAATATTGGAAATTTTATTTTTGTCTTACATGTTCCCATTAGGAGAAAATCGACTAAATCAACATTGAGCTAATATTCTAGACATGCGGGAGCATGTTAAGCCTAGTTCCAGGGAGGGGACTGCACCGTGCGTATATTTAGACGAACCACTTGGAGCCACTTTTGACTCCTCATCACTCAAAAAGTACTTTGCATTAACACTTCAAATTTGGCTCATCTATTGAGACTTGCAAGATAAACATCGGCTTCAAATTTCATAAACATACCTCAAATGGTTCTTTAGGTATTGACGTCCAAAAATCTACATGGCTGACCTTTATGACCAAATTCTAACCACTTCCAGATGACCTTGAAGGTTCAAATTTGACATCCAGATAGGTAGTTGTGTAAATACAAAGGAACAAATAAAAAATCAGTAAATTTTAATATTTCGCAGGTGATAGATAGATTTTAGTGCCCTAAATGTCGATTTTTGAACGTCAATACCTAAATAACCGTTTGAGGTATATTTATGAAATTTGAAGCTGATGTTTATCTTGCAAGTCTCAACACATGAGCCAAATTTGAAGTGTTAATGCACAGTACTTTTTGAGTGATGAGGAGTCAAAAGTGGCTCCAAGTGGTTCGTCTAAATATACTCACGGTGCAGTCCCCTCCCTGGAACTAGGCTTAACATGCTCCCGCATGTCTAGAATATTAGCTCAATGTTGATTTAGTCGATTTTCTCCTAATGGGAACATGTAAGACAAAAATAAAATTTCCAATATTACAGACCTTCTAGAGCAGATGCCGCGAAAACTATACAAGATATAGAAAAACTTGACTATCTCACCTGTAGAAAATTGAATAAGCTTTTTTTGGTTCATAGTAGTCATGTCACTAGGACGCATAGTTTCCGAGGATTAAGCGAAAAACCGAAAAGTGGTACCTTTAAACCCCCCTCTCCCCGCCAGCTTAAGGGCTAAGGGCGGGGACTTTTGCTATGTTCACCACCTAACTAGTTTAAATAAAGTCCCGAGGTCAGAAATTGTGTTCCATGGATTTCTCTCTACACCGTCGTTAAAGCATTCATTGACTGGACTATTAAGCGTTACTATAATTTTTAAATTGTTCGTTTTGACAATTGAAATAATATAGTCAAAAACAAGATTTCCCTCGATCGATGAACTTGACTTGTTTGCCGGTGATAAAATATAATATGTTATTTTAAATAATCTATTTCTCAGTTTTAATTATTAGTCTCAAGAGAAATCAACAATAAATTAGAAACAATTAGCAATGCTTATAAATAAACGATTAATTTAGAAAACACGATATCCAATCAAATATTTGAATATGGAAACTAATTTTTAATTGGATCGACTAAACGGCACTGGAATCGAGGACTATTATTTCACCTGTCATCGTGGCTAAAATCTATGAAACTTTAGGACTTTAATAGCAATTTGTTATTGAAATCGGTTCATCCGTTTGGCATTCAGCCGTGAAAACGAAACAGATAGACAGACATGCAACTGCTTATCCGTGTTTTTGTAAATCAAGTTAATAATTTGTATGCATAACGTAATAACTAAATGATATGAATAAGTACGCCTAATTGGTTAACACGTAAGTGGTGAAAATAATTTGGGAAAAAACTTGCTCTTAACCTTTGCTTACACGTTTTCCGCAAAAACTAAAAAAGAGTGACATGTACGAAGCCACATTAAGTTTTTAACTTTTTGCAAAATCACGTTGACCTTCGGTCAAGTGCAAAAGCCACTCCTGACTTACGTCAGCCGACAATTGAAGAACCGTCTGCATAGTGATGTAGTATATCGATAATGTTTTTAGAAATACTGCTGAACCGTGCACAATGCCTTACGAATTTGTTCACCTTTTGTGCACTTTTATTTAGGTAGTAAACAAATTAATGGATTGAAAAAGTTTGACATTAGGTAGTCGAGATGCGCGCTCTATCTAATCAAAAGTATCTGACGATAGCTACTTGAAGATTTGGTTCATTTGTAATCCTGTGCGTTCATGTGCACTGTGAGACCTCATAGTAATGTTTGTGCATACGAGCGTCTGTGTTTTTGACTTAGTCACGCAGAAAAATTCAGAAACTAAAATATCAATACCTATCTACATTTAGGTAAGCTAAACATATTTTTCCCCATTAAGTACATGGTTCAACAGGTTGTATTTGATAATATCTGTGTTATCTATAATGCTGCTATCAGTGACTGTTGACAATATATCTAGTTAAAATAAAATTCTGAAGGTTATGATATATATTATATATATTTATATTATCGTTACATCGATATTTAATTGTGAGCAACACTAACTGCTGTCGTTACAGGCAAGTGTTTGTGAGAATCATTATAATGACTTTTAATGAAATAACAGAGTGCTTGGTAACTCTACAATTAAGTAAGCTTGAAATTTTCGTGTGAACATTGTTTTTGCGACGCTTTTGACCAAAATTGTAATACGACAGACAGCAAAATAATCGAATACAATTTTAAATGGACGTTTTGAACTAAAAGTCGCCAATAGATTTTAATATTGGACTTATTATATCAATGATCTAACTAAACGATGATACACCGCCTTTTCCTTTTATCTCAACTGTTCTCTCCCAGGGATATTTGGAAGAGATCGCTTCCAAACGCCAAAATCGCTTAAATTGTTTCGTTTCAATTTTGAATTTTATTTTTCAGTTTAGTGTGGTGTGCAATAAATCTATCGATGTAATACGATCTTCTTCTATCGATCTAAAATGATATTGCCTTTCTGTAGCTATATCATCATAAGTTATAAACAATTCAACATCTTTAGTAGTGGTAGTTTTTACCACAATCGATAAAAAAAACCTTCCTCGTGCGTCAAACTTCTTTAACTCATGACTAAGTAAAATACCCACAATACACACAAAGGTAAATCATTCATTATACAACGAACACGAAAATGGTAATAATCATAATCTGTAACTAGACAATACGTTGCCATTTATCAATCCGAGATGGATTAGATATTAGAAAGACCTTTCGCTGACGAAACTAGCGCCAACGCTCGTGAGAAAATTAGTGAATAAGTGAGAAAGAATTCAACGTAAGAAAGTGCGCAAGAGCAAGCACGCGCCGTGGGCAGGGCTGGCACGCTGCCTTTCTTGTTAGAGACTTATTTATTTATGTCCAAATGACAGATATCAAGCTAAACACAGTAGCGACTTATTTCGTTGTAATACGTAATAATTTTGCAATAAAAAACGTTTTCTTTAACTTGGCCTAAACACCAACAAAAATTGAGTAACATTAATATGATTTTCAAAGAATAACTGAACCAACTACTGAAGTCTCTACATACGCGTCCTCCAATACATACACATTATCTGGTCCAGTCCGTAGCTATTCTAATTTTTTCAGCTGCTAATCGTATATAACCTGCACAGTAGCACTGATATTGGGCAGTACAGTGTATATTTAACTGCATCTTACTGGAATGCCCTATGAATTAAATAGTATCTTTATTACGACTGGTTTTGCAATAAAAAAACGTTTTCTTTGACTTGGCCTGAACACCAACAAAAATTAAGTGAGTAACGTTAATGATTTTCAAAGAATAAATGAAGTAACTACTGAAGTCTCTACATACGCGTCCTCCAATACACGTTATCTGGTCCAGTCCCCAGCTATTCTATTTTTTCGGCTGCTAATCGTAATTTAGCCTGCACAGTAGCACTGACACAATCAAAATCAAAATAAAAATATTTATTCAGTTTAGACCACAAGTGGCACGGCACTTATGAACGTCAAAATATTATTATAGAAAATAATAAAAAAAGAAAAGGTAGCCCTTATGGGGCACTTTACATGTCTCCTTTTCTTTTGGGCCCTACCAGACTAACCAGTCATACATTACAGTGTATATCTTACTCTATCTTACTGGAATGCCCTAAGACACAAATAGTTTCGACAGCCCTAGCAGTTGCTACCGGCTTGCAACGCGCCTGCGTCTGCATCAATCTCTGATCTCTTGTCGCCCAAGCGTGACTATTAAACCTTTCTGAAACATTACCAGTGTGTGCTCTATGCCACTGGGTCATATTTTCTTTCACTTGCTCACCTAAAGTAATATTTTGCGTTGTCCATACTTAGTTATTATAGCAAACCCTTCAGAGATTCGATGAAGAATCTAAATTGCAAGAATACAACGAGATATAAAATTAAAACAAACACAATTTATCCGGTTTGAATGGTAGCAATTCTTATTAAATATAAGACTGAGCTGTTTTGAGTTCGAAGAGAAAATCTCATAAAATTAAACAATGTGTCTATTTTTAATTAACTTCTTTTAAAATCGTTGTAACTTTTATTACTTACATAAAGATTTTCATATCAAAATTGAAGCATACATTATTTCTACAAT